ACCCAGTTTCCCTTATAATTAAAATCTTACATTAGAATGGGATTCATTGCAATTAATGAACCAATACTGATACATTATTATTAACTAAAGTCCATCCTTAATTCAGATTACCTTAGTTTTTATCTTGTGTCCTTTTTCTCTTCTAGGATGCCATCAAGGATGCCACATTAAATTTAGTTGTCATGTCCTCTTAGGCTTCTCTTGGCTGTGACAGTTTCTCTGACTTGCCTTGTTTCTGATGACCTTGACAGTTTTGAGGAGTACTAGTCAGATATATTGTAGACTGTTCCTTAATTAGGATTCGTCTGACATTTTTCTCTTAATTGGACTAGGGTTATGGGTATGGGGGAGGAAGAGATAAAGTATCCTTTTCATTATGCCATATCAGGGGTACAGACTGTCGACATGATTTGTCACTGTTGTTGTTGGCCTTGATCACCCACCTGAGGCAGTGTTTTTCAGATTTCTCCAACATATTATAAAGTTACTCCTCCCCCTTTCCACACTATACTCTTTGGAAGGAAGTCACAATGCATAGGCCACACGTAAGGCCTAGGGAGTTAGGGAGTTAGGCTGTACCTCCTTGGGGCTGGATTCAAGTAACGTACATTTATTATTTGGAATTATTCTGTATGGGAAATGTGTCTGTTCTTCCCTATTTATTATTCAGTCATTTATTTTTATAAATGTAGAATAATGTTTTCAAAATAAATAATCAGATTTCATACTCTTTTGCTCAGAATCCTATAGTAGCTTCACACCACATTCAGAATGAAATGCAAACTCCTCTCTGTGGCTCAAGACCCGTGTGATCTAGAGCCTGGCCTCATCTCCCCTTGTATCATCCATGCTGTCACCATAGCTTATGCCCCAGACCTGGACATCCCAAGTTGAAGCAGCTGCTGGGCCTTGGCATTTGCCCTTCTTTCTGCCCAGCAGGCTCTACCCTCAAATTCTCACCTGCTTTGCTTCCTCACTTCAGTGAGTCTCTGAGAGCCCTTTCATAACCTCATTTAAAAAGTCTTCTGACCTGATTCATTCTATTTTGTTACCCTATATTTCTTCATTGCATTTATCCCTACTGATGTCTGTATTTATTTTGTTTTTTTTTTTCTTTTATCTTTTTTTCAATGTAATGGAAGCTCCATGAGGGTAGACACTGTGTCTTATTCACCGGTGCATCCCTGGCTGCCACAACAGTGCCTGGCACATAGCAGGAGCTCAGGAAATATTTGTTGAATAAATGAATGCACAAACTATCTATTTTTGAAAGAAATCATCTTCAGGTCTCTTCTAGCCAGAGTATCCTATGTCTTTATGAACTAATAATTCCCTTTCTGTCTTTTTCCCTTCAGTGTCCTGGAGGCATTTTAGGAAAGGAGACCTGGCTTTTTTTTTTTTTTCCTGAAGGAGCACTATGGTGTTTAAGATAGTAAATAAATAAAATCCTAAGTTTCTCTGTTATTTATATATACTTTATGATGTTCAAAGTTTGAGTGAAATAAGCCATAATTAGATCTCACCATTGGTAAGTTCTCTGTTATTATGTCCAGGTGGAGGGAGCTCAGCTCTGCTCTGGCACCAGTGACTCCAGGTGGAACTGCCTTAGGATGGAATTGCCCTCCACCCCCACTTCTTCGTAGTTGAGCTGCAGTGCTTCTTGGAGCCAGAGAATCTTGCCTGGTTAGGAATCTCTGTTGATAATAGAGACTTTTGATTTCTGTATTAACCTCCTCCATGGAAGATGCCTCAGCTTTGCAGTCAGACACTCAAAACTGGAAAGATTCTTTAGACACTTCCAGTGAAATACCACAGGGTTTCTGTTTGTTTGCCATCAGTATGAAGCAGGTTCCTTTCAGAGTTCATGTCATCATCTGTAATTTTCCCTGGTCCAACTCTAATAAGGAGCCATTACTTTTAACTCTAGTTCTCAGGAATTGCAAACTTATCATTCACAGCCAGGTTCAGTCTCGAGCAAGCCATTTTTCTGCGGCTCAGCTCAGGCTCTGTCAGACTCCTAATGCAATATAGAAATATATACAACATGGCTGCCCATCCATGCTTCTCTGGAGAAAGAAAAATCACCTTGTTTTTTCTTTTAAAAAAGAAAAACATTTGGCAATTTGGTAAAAAGCCTCCTATCTGGATTTTCTATGTTATTTTGCCCCTGCTTATTTAGAAAATGCCACATGAAAAGAATTACCAAATCTTCAAGCTCTAGACAGGAAGTAAAGTGTCTGCTTCATGGTAGATCATGTTTCTGGCACAAGCAAGAAGGTACAGAGTGAAGCAGAGCGGTGTCACAGCCCTTGGGGAGAGTTTTGAGAAGATACAGAGTGAAGCAGAGCCGTGTCACAGCCCTCGGGGAAAGCTCCAAAAAGGTACAGAGTGAAGCAGAGCTGTGTCATAGCCCTTGGGGAGAGCTCTGAGAAGGTACAGAGTGAAGCAGAGCCATGTCATAGCCCTCGGGGAGAGCTCTGAGAAGGTACAGAGTGAAGTACAGCCGTGTCATAGCCCTCAGGCAGAGCTGCTCTTCTGGTTAGTCAGTAAAAGGGAAACATCACTTGGTCATCCTTTTTCTTATTTTGTGTTAATTGGCTACCATATTCTTAAAGGAGTTAACAAGGGTCAGGTACATCAGTGGATATGTGAATCACAACCACATAATTTCTCCAAAAAAGATACACAAATGGCCAATAAGCACATGAAAGTATGTTCAACATATTAGTCATTAGGGAAATACAAATTGAATCCACAGTGAGATACTACTTCACACCCACTAGGATGACTATGATCAAAAAGACAATAAAAGTGTTGGCAAGTATGTGGAAAAAGTGAAACCTTCATGAATTGCTGTCAGGAGTGTAAAATGACACAGCCACTTTGGAAAATAGTTTGGCAATTTCCCAAAAGGCATTTACCATATGACCTAGCACTTTCATTCCTAGGTCTATACCGAAGAAAAATAAAAACATCTCAACATAAATGTTCATAGCAGCATTATTGAAAATAGCCAAAAAGTGGAAACAAACCAATTACTCGTCACCCGTTGAATGGATAAATAAAATGTGGTATATCTGAATAATGGAATATTATTCAGGCAAGAAAAATAATGAAGTACTGTTACTTGCTACATGAATGAACCTTGAAAACATTTTGCTAGGTGAAAGAAGCCAAACAAAAAAGGCCATATATTATTCCATTTATATGAAATATCCAGAATAGGTAAATCCATAGAGACAGAAAGTAGAATAGTGGATGTCAGGGTAGGAGAGTGACTACTAATGGGAATAGAGTTTCTTTTTGGGGTGATAAATATATTTGGGAATTAGATAGTGGTGATGAATGATTTCACAACCTCATAAATACCCAAAAAACACTGAATGGTACACTTTAAAAGGGTGGATTTTATGGTATATAAATTATATCTCAATTTTTAAAAAACTCACTATTAGGAACTTCACACCCATTAGGATGGTTAAAACCAATAATACAATAACAGGCGAAGATGTAGATAAATTGGAACCCTCATTCATTAGTGTGATTGTAAAATGGTACAGCCACTTTGGAAAACAGTTTTACAGTTTCTCAAATGTTAAATGTAGACTTACCATTTAACTTAGCAATTCTGCTCCTAGGTATTTACCCAAGAGAAATGAAAACATGTATGAACACAAATACTTGTAAATGAAAGTTCACAGAAGCTTCATTTGTAATAACCAAAGCTGGAAACCGTGGAATACTACTCAGCAATAAAAAGGAAGGAACTACTGGTTCATGGAGCAACATAGATGAACCTCAAAAACCTTATGCTGGTCTTGAACTCCTGGCCTCAAGCAATCCTCCTAAGTGGAAACTAGAAACCAAAGACTACATGTTGTATGATTCCATTTATATGAAGTTTCCAGAAAAGGCAAAACTATAGACAGAAAGCAAATCAGTAGCTGCTTGAGGTTGGGGGTGGGAGTGGCAGTTGACAACAAACCAGCATGAGGGAATTTTTTGCGGTGATGGAAAAATGTTCTAAAATTGGACTGTGGTGACTGGTTGCACAACTGTTTAAATTTACTAAGACTTGTTGAATTGTACACTTAAAATGGGTGGATTTATGGTATGTAAATTATACCTCAAAATCTGTTTTTAAAAAATCAGTCAGTCTAGGACTCTGGATATATTTGAATCAGGATAAAAAACTACTTTCTCCCCACTTTAGACTCGTCCTCCCACTGACTTAAGTTTTAACTTTGATGCCAACAAACAACAAAGACAGCTTATTGCAGAACTGGAAAACAAAAACAGGTAAGAAGCAGGGCCAAACCTGTTATTAATGTGCAGGATTATCATGTGAGTATCTGATTCTCTTCCTTGCCAACTAGATGGCTTTTGACCACAAAGGAAGATCCTGCCTCAGTGAATGTAGGCTAGCCCAAGTCCACTAAAGGCCCTGGACGCTGATTTGTATATATCTGCATGCCGTTGATACTGGTAGTCCAAAACCCTGCTCGCATGCCTTGAAGTAGATTCTTTGTCCCAGGCTTCCTGCCACCCACCAGTATGTTCCCCTGTCGCAATTGCTTTCTCCACTCTCCTTCCTGGCAGCACTTTGCTCTATCTAGCCATCTTGTCCTGACCCATTATGCTATGTGTGACTGTCTGGTCCCTCATAACAAAGCCATTTAGAAACATGGAGACCAGACAGCACACCATTATACCTGAAAGGTAGAAGCCAGGGCAAGGGACCCAACCTAAAGTAACAAGCGTACGCTGTCTGTCAGGGGGTCGGGGCCAGGGAAGGCAGGGGATGGGGGACGTCTTAAGGGGAAGTCAGTGCAGGGCCTGCATTAGGAGATTGCAAGTTCTCTTTTCCTTCCCCCAGAGAGAAATAGTAAATCAGGCATGCTGGTTGTCATTTTCCTTTTATGGAGATTTTTCAACTTCTTGAGAAGAGCGTTTTTATAGCCTTTTCTACCACAAAGGATTGTTTCATTCAGGGAATGTCAGGTACAGCAGTATTGAGGTATCCATTTCACATCTTGGTCATCTGGAAGAAATCAGAACAAGATTGGTAGAGGAGGCACTGCTAGAGGAAAAACCTCTAACAGGGACAAAGAGGGAGCTCTGAAGCCCTGTGCAGCCATCTTTCACTCATCCCTCCTCTAGAGAGATCCTGCAGGAGATTCAGCGTCTCCGCCTGGAACACGAGCAGGCTTCCCAGCCCACTCCTGAGAAGGCCCAGCAGAACCCCACGCTACTGGCAGAGCTGCGACTGCTGAGGTAAGTAGGGATAGTGCACCACTGTCCCCAAACTGTAATCTACGACAGTGGGAATTTCTATCTCAGGAAAACAAACAAGTGGGGTAGAATATGTTTATCAGTATGCCTAGTCTTGTTAGAACAAAAATGGCCAAGAGTTCCACCCATTATGTTTTTGCTTCACGTGTTTGGGTTCCATTATTAATCACTCTGAGAAAGTCAGTCATCCTCACAGAACTAGGTAAATACCAGTGTCAGCTCCAGGACAAGCATAGCAGTGTTTATACTTCGGTGATTGCTTTAAGAAGACCGTTGTACTGCAGTCTCTCTTCTTATCTTGCTAATTAATCTGACTTCAGAGACTCTTGGCAGAAATAATGCTTTCCCTTTTCCTATGAATGTATTTCTCCTGGCACTTCACAGTCAGAGCAGGATGCCACTGAAGGAGAAGGATGCTTCCTACGCACATCCTCTGAGACGTGAAACCAAGTGGGCATCCTTGCACTGTGGCTATGGTAGCTTCCCACTTGTATATAAACATAAACTGTCTCAAAGATCAAGAAACTAAGGGCATAGGATCAAAATGGGAGGAGAGAGCACCTTCAGCTCCCAGTTTGATGCTGTTTTGGAGGAGTGGGGATATCTTCCCAGAAGAACATAACGTGAGCGTGATCTGACCTATTATTAGGATCTTATGTCCTGTCAATCTTAGAAAGGTGTGTGTACTCTTCTATAAATAAAGACATTATGGAAACTAAGTTTAGTGACTTGATTCTCACCAGATCTCTAGATTTCCAAATAGTGGGTTCTTTCTGTTCAGGTCATCTGGGATTCTGTATAGCTGAATACCATTTTTTTTTTTTTTTTAGCTCTTCCTTTAGCTTAGGTAATTCAGTTTCTCAACCATGATTTCTTTTCCTAGAGAATGGAGATTATTGTTTTTTCATAGGTGTCCTACTGTTCAGATTTATATCCTCAATAATTAAGTAATTTAAACTGTGCAGATAAAAATCATTAGTGGTATAGAGATTGTGGTCTCCTAAAAATTTATTTTAGTTTCTAAATTTAGCTGGGATGAAATTTTGGTTGCTCTGTGATTCACGGCTGCACATTTGTGATATTAGTACAGTTCATGTCATGCTAGGAAGGATGGGAAAATGAATGCTGCTAACTTGGGCAGAGTATAAGTCTAGAGTATCAGCACAAGATATACCTGTTGTCTGTCCCCACCTCAGCTCAGGCACAATTGACTATTTTTATATCTAGAAAAGCAAAAAAAAAAAAAACACACACACACAAACCCTGTCATCCTCAGTCTGTTAGTCTATTGCTGGAACTGAGATTGCTAAAAGTGCTCAGTTAAGCTGGAAGGATCTAAAAAATATATTAATAAATTTAGTAGGCACAGGGTGGAGTCCAGGGATATCACATAAGGCAGCAAGAAGCAGGAATTTAATCTAAGACCAAGGAGGGTCTACAGTTTGAGAAATCAAAGTATTTAATCTCAAAAGCAGCTTCTATATCACTGAAGAAGGGGGACTATTTGATAAGTGCACTGGAACAACTGGACAAACATATTGGCTTTCTACCTCACTGTATATATATAAAAACACCAGATAGATTAAACATGAATACAAAACTTTAAAACTTCTAGAAGAAAATGTAGAAGAATTTCTTTAGAATTTTGGAATAGAAAATAATTTCTCAGAATTACTAATCATGAAAGAAGTTGGGAAGTTCATTTACATTAAGAACTTTTATCAAAAGACACATAAAAGGCAGGATTCATTTATAGGTATCTGATATCCTTCTGGTTTTGATCAATATATATGAATCCACTATAATCAAGAATAAGTTAAGGTATACTTTAAAATAAAAGAGTGGAATTGGAATGTTCCTAACACAAAGAAGTGATAAATGCCTGAAGTGATGGATATCCCAATTACCCTGACTTGAGTAGTTTACATTGTATGCCTGTATCAAAACATCACCTATACCCTATAAAGTAATACAACTATTATGTACCCATAATAATTAAAAATAAAAAATATATATGTACGTATATGAGTCAAAAACTGCCAATACCCAGCTAGTACAATAAAACAAGATAGAGAATTTCATCCATAGGATTAATGATTATCACTATTGACTAACAGTGTTGTCTTTTCCCCCTTTATCATTTTTAATGGTATGTTTATTACAATAATATGTGTGACAAATGTATAAAGATATGAAGCATAATGATAAAATGAATACCTATAAACCCACATCCGATTGAGAACTCGTATATTGCTAAAACCATGTCATCTGTATAATGCCCCTACCTTACCCCACTTCCTGCCTCTACCTTCCCCATAAAGTGAATCTCTCTCCAGAATTTGGTTTATCATTCCCTTGTTTTTACAGTATTATCACATTGTAATCCTATATAATAAAGTATTTAATTTTGCTTTTTGTTTTTGAGCTTAATAGATATATACAGTGTTCTGGGGCTTCTTCCCCCTCAATATTACTATCTAGGATCCTTCCACATTGTTGCATGTAGCTGTAGTTCATTCATTTTCATCTTGTATTATAATTGTCTGGTCATACACAGCACAGAAAAAGAATCCTGCATGCAAGCTTAGGAGTTCAGGGAAGGAAGGCATCCTAGAAAATTGAACGAGTCTGGGCCGAGTATGGTGGCTCACACCTGTGATCCTAGCGCTTTGGAGGCCAGGGAGGATTCCTTGAGGCCAGGATTTCAAGATCAGCCTGGGCAATGTAGTGTAACGCCATCTCTACAAAAAATTTAAAAATTAGCCAGGCGTGGTGGCATATGCCTATAGTCCTAACTACTTGGGTGGGTGAGACAGGAGGATCCCCTGAGCCCAGGACTTCAAGGTTACAGTGAACTGTGATCAAGCCACTGCACTCCAGCCTGGGTGACAGAGTGAGACCCTGTCTCAGAAAAGGAAATTAAGTCAGTTCTTCCTTATCGAGTATATAACTGCTCTGGAAATTTAGAGAGTATGAAGACTAGATGACAGTGAGTCTATCCTAAAAACTTATAATCTAATTTTGGAAACAAAACATAAAATAATTTGGTAGTCAGTTAAGTAATAGTATACAATGTCAATAAGACAATGGATAAGAAAATTCTGTGTAGGGAAAGATATAATGGGGTGGGGAACCTGCGGCCTTGGGGCCACATGTGGCCTTCTGGATCCTTGAGTGCGGCCTTTCGACTGAATCCAAACTTTACAGAACAAATCCTTTTCATTGGAAATCTTTGGAGAGTTTCAAATCATGATTTTGTTAAGTTCAGTAGATGTTAATTGAGCACATACTGGATATTTTCTTAATCGTCCAATACATGCAAAGATGAGTAAAGCTCATCCCTTGACCTCAAGGATTTTGCATCGTGGTAGGAATGGCTGCTACACAAGGTAAAGTAAATTAAGTGCCACAGAGAAGCACTATATTGCTATAGGAATTAATTAAGCTGGCCCTGCTGAAGTAATCAGGAGAAGTTTCCTGGAAAGAGTGATGTTTCGGACAGACACTGAGGAATGAATAAGATTTGGAAGATTTGGGATTCCCTGTGAGTCAAAATGATGGGGCCTGTTTAGGGAAAAGTGACCATCAGCTGGAGGTCCCGGCACAGAAGGGAATAGGAGGTGAGGCACTAAGGATAGAAATGTAGGTGGACTCCAGGGCAGTGCTCTCTGATAGAAATATAATGTGAGCCACATATGTAATTAACGATTTTCTAACAGCCACATTGAAACACTAAAAAGAAATAGGTGTTATTAATTTTAATACTATATTTTAGTTCATCTGATATTTCCAAAATATTCATTTCAACATGTAATCAGTATTAGAAAATGATTAAGATATCTTGCCTTCTTTTTTCCACACTAAGTCTTTGAATTCCAGTGTGTATATTACACCTACAGCACATCACAATTCAGACCAGCCACGTTTCAGGTGCTCCATAGTCACGTGTGGCTAGTGGCTGTTGTGTGGGACAGCACAGGTCTAGATTGTGTAGGGCAAGGGTCAGTAATGCTAGAAATTCTGGTGAGATCATCACACAGGGTGATGAAATGGACACCACTTTGCTTTGAGCAGCATTTTAAATAAAGTTCATAGAACACTCTTACATCTGTTATCTTATTTGGTCCTCAAAATATTGCTGCTATTTGTTATTAGTCCCATTTTAGAGGAAAGTTGAGGGTAAGTGACTTGTGCAAGGTTATGTATTTAGTAAATGCTAGGGCCAGCAGTAAACCTCAAGCCTCCTGATGTATATTGCACTGCTTTTCCTCACCATAAAAGCTGAAGTCAGGACTAATCATGCTAGGAGACTGTTCCATGTGTGAGGTAAGGAACACCTGGATAAAGTGAGAAAAGTGGGAATAGAAAGATAGGCATATAAATTTTCTAAGAATCACCTGCATTGAGTGACTGATTGAATATAGAATATAAAGAGGAAAGTATCAATGAGGACTGAGTATTTCAGCCGTGACACCTGGAAGAAAAAATAGCAGAGATAGGGAAATTGGGAAAGAGAAACATTTGAGGAGAAAAGCCTTAAGTCTGATTTTGGACATATTGAGCTGGAATAGATGACATGAAATCTGTCCTCCGGGAAAAGTCACTTCTAGACACAGGGAGTCATCCCCATCTGTTACCCTTCCTTAACCTGATGTCTAGTGCTGAAAATATTGACTACTGAACTTTTTTTCCCCCTGAGCAGTTTGATATAATTTCTCCACCATCAATTTAAATTGGATTAGTCTTATATAATTTTCTAAATAATACATTTTCCCTGTACGACGTGTATACTTTCCAAGGCACTTTTACCTATTATTCTCACAGTAGTACAGGAAAGCAGGCAAAACAGATATCACCATTTCATACAAGAGGTATCAGAGGTTAAATGCACTTGCTCAGCATCTCATAAACTGCTAAGTAGCAGGTCTAAAACCCATTTCACCTGGCCTCTTAGACCCTTCTCTGAGGGTCCCTTTATCTTCAAAGTTTCATTTCTGATGGGCTTTTCCTCTGGGGCAGGCAAAGGAAGGATGAACTGGAGCAGAGGATGTCGGCACTGCAGGAGAGCCGGCGGGAGCTGATGGTGCAACTGGAAGGGCTGATGAAGCTGCTGAAGGTAAGAGCTTTACAAAAGAGCAAACTCACCCTTCCTGTGCCTTGTCGTTCTATCCAGGTTCTCGAGGAATTGCATGATGCCTACCCACATTGGTGAAGGCAGATCTTCTTTGCTCAATCTGCTAATTCAAATGCCAGTCTCTTTAGAAATACCATCACAAACACACCGAGAAATAATGTTGTACCAGCTATCTGGCTATCCCTTAACCCAGTCAAGTCAATACATAAAAGTAACCATCACACAAACCAAACTAATGAAACCAATTCTAATCAATAACTTTACTATATTAGGAATAAAAGAGCATATTAGCTCTAGGTTTTATATACTGGAGACCTGAATAAATCAAGAATAATTGAGGTCTATTTTTGTTAAAAAGTATATTACAGCCCCTACAGTTCAGAGTAGAAAAAGGCATGCTTGGCATTTAAATATGTGCACCTGAACAATTTTATTGGCACTGAAAAGAAATATTTACCTAGTTATGTGGCAGCAATACCAGAGCACTTGCTCATGCTGTTACTTTTTCAGGTCCTGTCTATCGATACTGAGGACCCACTACATTGGTAGTATGACACAGAGTTAACAGCCAGAATGAAAATCACAAAGTATGAAGTACCTCAAAAGCCAGGCTGAGGGGGTGAGTTTAATACTGTGATAAAAGGGAGCCATTGAAGGTTTTAAACAGAACGCTTTAGGAAAATACACAGGACACATTAGAAAGGGGAAAAACTAAAGGATAATAGGAGACTAATGTAATCCTCTAGGCCCAAGGTGACAAGGGTCTTAACTAGAAGTGGTAGCCCAAGAAAATATCAACTTGGCAAACCAGTCCCTTAATAATGAAGCTAGTGAGTATTAGCAACTTGGATAAATGCATTATTTGTGTTTTAAACCGACTTTTGACTTGCTCAAGCCAATTACTTTTTTTAATCTTTTTTTTTTTTTT